CCAAAACAGACGAATGCTATATCCACGAAACTTATCGATCGAGCGAAATAATAGCGCTCCTGTTCACGGGTCTTTGATCACCGCCATTTCCGTCTCTGTTAATCAAAATCCGACAGCTCATAAGAATGACAGGCGACGTGTGTGAATTTCAAAGCAGACATCCGCCCCGTTATCTCACTGAAACATCACGCCATACATTTTCAACAGGGGGTCAGCAAAGGGGGCGTACACTGCAAGAATATACGAAAACTATGCTGTGTGTGTCACTTTAACACTAAACTCGTAGGGAACTGCCCGGTAAAACCAAACGCAAAAGGACTTGGTGACATTTCAGGTTCTCACACCGGAGGGTGTGAAGATGGCGTTTTCCACGATGCTTCACCTAATTCCTAATGTCCGTCAAGTTTAACTGCACTAATCCGCCGTTTCTGAGACGCGGAAGTCCTGACAGTGACGACTCTGGTATCAAGAAATGCACACGAGCCCTCGTGGTACCTACGGTGGGGTCTGGCGGAGTCTGGTTTTGTGTTCGCACGCTTGGCAGGAATTTAGTGATTTCAATGATGCTGCAAATTCTTTTCCTGTTCAACGTACAAAAACGTCCATTCCCGTCAACTGTGGTGGGGCTTAATAATAATCCTTGTAGTCGGTCATGACCTTGTCTGCGCATGCGAACCACGAGGCTGTGAAACGCAGAGAAACCTTTCCTCAAGCCATAAGCCGAGCCCCTGCGCTCGTCTGCTCATTATTTCGTGATTCACCGTCGAAAATAGCACAGCGGATGGTGAAGACCGGAGTCTAGTTTAACTGTGATCTCGGATTAACAAATGTCATTAAATTTGGGTCTTCTGGGTTGCGATGTCTTATAGTCTTCGAGGCTGTTACCAATGTTTCGGAGAAAAACTCGCATAAAGTGTCAACATTTTCGGGCAAGAACAGCAATCCCGAGAAATCGGCGCTCAGCCATCGCACACTTTAAGTCACTTTTGTACGATGCATCTCCAATGACGTCAGGGACAGCTGCTGAGACGACAGACTGGGTCACCCACAGTGTCGAGAGGCCAAACATTGTAACATCGGGAGTCACAAGAAAAACATTTCAAATACTGCCAAAACTACAAACATCTGTCCTCGTACAGCTGGATGAAGACGCCGCTTGTAACTCGCAGCGGAACATCAAAATATAAATCCCACGCGGTTTGTCAGTCAGTTTAAAAGCTCTGTTCACACGGAAATACTGACAACGTAGAACATCAGTGTTAACAAGAAGGATGAGGTGGGCTGGGCATGTAGAACTCACGGGCAGGTAAAAAAATTGGTTTTAGCCGGAAAACTGGAGGGTAGACA